TATATATACTGGTGAAGTTTCAGGAGCAATGAATTCTGTATAACATTTCGTGTAACAACAAACTTCCACTATGCTGTTTAATCCATTGTCCGTAATTAATTCCAAGTCATGTGCCCACTAATTTATCATTGGTCTAAATTATGCATAGAAACAATTAATTGTGAACAATTTACGATCTAAATCAATAAAAAAAATTTTTTTAAATTTTAAAATGACAACTAAAGAAGAAATTAAACAAAAATTAAATAAAGCAAGGAAGTTGGAGGAGTGGGAAGAAGAAAAGTATAAGGGTGAGAAGTTGGACAAGTTGGAAGATAGATTGGAAGAAGAGAACTTGAATGAAACAGTGAGAAAGAACTTAGAAGAGCAGAGAGATAGGTTGTTGAAAGAAAAGGAAAAATTGGAGGAAGACAAGAAAGATTGGAAAGGTCAAGTAATAAAATTACAAGATAAATTAGCAGAGTTCAAAGAAAAAGGTAATGAACAAATTGTGTAAACAAATATACAAAAAATTTTTTTTCATTTACCATTTTGTATATTGTTTGACATTGACTAACTCATACTTTGTTTCTTTTTTTTCTTTTTACTCATTACAGCAGGTAAAGTGTAAATTATCTAATTTTTTAACTAAATAGATGTTATTTTTTTTATTCATTCATCCCATTCACCTTGTTCTTTGAATTTTTTATTTTATTTTCTATCATTATATTTATAATAATCATGAATTAGGTAAAATTAATTTTTGCAATGAATATTTATATTTAATGAAAGTGGATTAATGATCTTTTTTTTTACATTCTATTATTTATCTATTCTTGTTACATTTCACCTATACTTTTTTATCTTTGTTCAAGTTAAAGAATCAGGCAAGAACATTTTATGTTGAATATTTTCTCTCATCTATTTGTCCATTTCTTGTTGCTTATTTCTCTTTTGTGTACTAATCAAATCTTTTATATTAGATCAAAGAAAATGTAAGGTTGATGATACATGGGACTTGGCAAAGGATGAAGCATTAAAAATAAAGAGGATTCCTCCACCATCAAATTTTTGCAGAGAAGAATATGATCCAAATTACATTTCCAATTTCTGTCCAAATTATGTGAACATCTCTGTGGTTTTATACCATCCTGTTTTTGGCAGATTCAGGGATCAATCTTTGAAAAAGCAAGATGCCAAGCCAGCTGATATAGAAAATGTTGTGGATCTATTGTATGAGATGGCAAAGACTTATGAGGTTGAGGATCACAGGTTATTGGAGTTTCAGAAACTTATGGGAAAAATTCTTGGACATCTAATAAATAAATTTGCAATTGGTAATTGTACTGCAGATGGTGCAGTAATTTGTAATGTACAATCAAAGCAGTATGCTCTGTTAATCCTTGAAGCAAAGAATAATCTTGGAACTGCTGGTGATGCATATTTTCAGGTAGCTGGTTCATATGAAAGGTATCTGGTTACTATAGAGGATTATGAAAGATACTGCAATCCTTGTTTTCTTCTGCATTTACATGGATCTTGGCTTGGAATTTCAGGAGCTGTATTTGGAAAAAAAATTATAGTTGAACCTCTGACACATATGATCCCTCTTTTACCAATGTTACATCATCCAGAACACTTATCAATGATAATTTCTGTTATTGAAGCATTGAAGAATGGATTGAATGAACTGAAAATCCATTATGAATCTGTTAAACCAGATAGTATAAACATTCCATGCCAACCACACTTTCCTTATCCTAGATCTTTCAATAACAATAATGGAGATAAACTTCAATTTGCTTATCTAAAAGAACTTTATAAAAACAAATCTCTCTTTCTTGTACAAGATGAAAAGGCCAAACAATATATTGTTAAGTTTGTACCTAATAATTATGGTGCTGATGTTCACAAATATTGCCAAGACCTAAAGATTGCGTCAGAACTTATTGCAGTTGAAAACATTGAAGGAAATTGGAAAATGATCATTATAAAATATTTATCACCAGATATCTTTACAGATCTCTACTCTTATCTACAAGATAAACCCTCTGACAAATATCTGTTAAAGAAAAAAGCTATGGATATTGCTGAGTTGTTCCATAATGGTGACTTTGTACATTGTAAAATAGTAAATTATAAGTCACGGGAAACGAACATATAAATCAGAAATGATTTATGAAAGTCACATGCAAATAAAATCGGAAAAACTGATCAAGTGATCAAAACAGTTAAATTTATTCAAACACCAATAAAATAATTGACTCA